ACAACCCAATTGCTGGGTTTGTCCCTATTTTACCCAGCACTGGGTTGTATTTAACCCAGCATTTTTTAGAGTGTACTGTGGTGTTTGGGTGACGAGCAGTCTTTTGGCCCAACAAATGGCCCAAATGTTCAGATGTTCATTGAACCATAAAACATTTTGCCATTCAGTTTGGTGTTTTTTTAGGGAGTAATGGCTTCCGACTAGCCATCCTACCACATGGTCCAGACAGATGAAGAATTCAGGATATTGACTTGTTCCCATATTGTTTCATGTTCCCTTTAAAGTTACTGTAAGTCTCTTTTGGCAGGTGCCTTGTTTTATTGGAATGTCATTGTTGTGCCCACACCACAGTGCGTGTTTGTGCATTTCCTTGGACCGTCTACTCTAGTTGATGATGGCCTTCACTGCACAGCCATGGCACATCTAATGTTTTGGAAATACAGATAGGTACTTCTTCACAATGACATCCCAACACATCCAATTCAGGACTAATCAGCATTACTTAAATGATGACCGGAGGATTAAAATTAAATTTACTGGAAGAGTTTGAATGTACTTTGTTCCATATAGAGTACCATGCCTCATTATAAAATTACATGATTTTATTATTGTATTTTTTACATCTCAAAGCTACTATTTTAACAGGGTTGTGTAGACTTTTTACACACCACTGTAAATACGGGAGGAAAATGTTTCATTCTGCTCCATGAGGCAGGCATTTGTGGGCAGATGTGTTTTGCAGTGGTCACAGCAGCTTGCGTACCGTGTCTTTTCTGCCATCTGCTTTTTGGAGTTTTGTTGAGATGTCATACCGCCCTTCCCTTTTTTGTTTGTTGAAGATCACTAGAACCTGTGGTTCACCAATGAACGAAAACTGCTGAAGATCCTTCCTGAAAACAAGGTTAAAAGAATCAATGGGTCCTTGAGTTTCCACCGCATAACGTTTCAAACATGTAATCATGGTATTTAGGCTAAATACCCTGCCGCTTGTTTTCACAAAACAAATGCATTGTTCAAAGAAAGCAAATTAGTCTTTAGCATCACATAAAATCCCAAATATATATACAGTATATACACACACTAATACACATAGAAGTTGCAACTATGTAATGGAGATTGTTAATGCCCCTCTCAAAAGTACAAATTAAAAAATTATTTCTGAACTAGGTTTTGCTATAACCAATTCACAAAACTTTTATTTTCATCCCACTTGGCAGTTGCAAATGTAATGAAAAGATCTGGAGAAATGTATCAGTAACAGTAACAGTTTTCAGTAACACTTTATTTTAAGGTGTCCTTGTTACACATGTTACATGTACTTACTATTGTAATAACAATTATGCATAATTACAAGCGAGTAAGCCTAAGCCAAATCCTAACCCTGACCATATAGTAAGTACATGTAGTCAATTAATATTACTCAATACTTAAATATATAATTACACTGTAACAAGGACACTTTAAAATAAAGTGTAACCCAGTTCTCTCTTTAAAATGTAGTTAATATACTGAAGTACACTGCAGTTTAAGTTTCTCAAGTACAGTAACAAAGAAGTCACTGTAATACTAAACATATCTAGAAACATTTTAACGTTTCGTTTTATTGAACGTGTGAAATTCTCAATTGAAATTCATTTTGCTTAAATAAACCTGTTCTCCATTCATTTAAAAAAAAAAAAAAAAAAAAATTAAGTTGGATATCAGGAATAGAAGTTTGAATGCAAAAGCTCAAAACCATAAATTATTCCTCAGCATAAAGAAACGATATAACTTGAGATGAATGAAACACTTGAACCCAAGTAATATGATACACCTTTATTTATTTTTGTATAATACATGCATAAAAAGTAATGGCTAAAACAAGCATATATGGATTAGTTCAATTAGGCACGAACCAAAAGGCACAAGTGTTTTGACAAAAACAGTCACAAGTCGGTGCAAAGAAAGTAGTAAATAAGTTGAAGAAACCAAACCCCTTGTGCATATACTGTACTAATACTCTTGACATGCGATTCCTGCGGGAGGAAAAAAAAAAGCCTGACTACAGACAAGTGCTACTGAATGACAGTCAAAACAAGCACCAGTTACATCGGCCAAATCATTGAGAGATTACTTTAAAAACCAACTTTGCTCTTAAAATTACTCAAACTAAGAATGCTTAACAAGATTTCAATTCAACTTAAGCTCCTGTCTACACTCGGATGATGACTCAATACCTTTAAGGAACTACAGTACAAATTAAAAAGCTTAGTTTCATCCTGAAGTGCAAAACTGATGATAGTCTTAAACGTAGAGTCCAAATCAAGTGCACAAACATGGGTTTCAAAAACACCCCACCAGACAACAAAATTAGCTTATACACACCAAACAGTGAGCTTAAGTTGTATAAAGGTAATACATTTATTAAAAGTAGTGTTGGACGCTATTAAAACGAATGCATACATGCTGCCTTTAACCATTTCATTCAAGATCTGCATGGGACGTTACCTGATAAGTTTATGGAACAAGTATAATTCTTAAATGATTTTCACGACATGGATTTTTTTTTTTTTTTTTAAGCAAACACTTAACTTGTACCATAACATTATCAGCCCTCCCACTCGAATCCTACCAGTATGCATCCGTTTCCAAGTCAAATGTGTAAGGTTCAGGGATTTGGCAATCAGAAGAGGGATCTAGAACATCAAAGTCAAATGCTGTTTGGGAAACAGGACCAGTAGCTCTGGTACCAGCCACCTGTGAGGTCACAATCCTGCTGTTGACTGGCTGAACACCCCTGAACGTGTCCACCATTAGGGGAGAGTTGGTTGCCTTGTTGATGTGTACACTCGTACTGAACAGGTCAATCTAATAGTGAGAAGCAGGAATAGAACAGTTTAAGACTATTAAACCAAAGATACTGGAACTCCTACTTCAAAACTTTACTGCTATAGGAAGGAAAATGTACTTTAGTAGTTACCAACTCTGCGAAATAAGCTTTTCCCCAAAAGACTTACCAAATCCCAGCTGACTTTGATGGGGTCTTTAAAGATGGTCCACACAACACCTTCATTGCAGTTTGGTGTGGTCAAAGAACCAAGATAACGATGATATTTAGTTCTGTCCACTCCAGGAAGAAGATCATCCATAGAGATATATTGAGTGATGTATGCTTTATCACCTGAGAAGCCGAAAGGGCATTTGAAGTCACTTATTTGTATAGCTCTTTTTACAGAAGCAATTAAGAGGGCAGGAAACACACACACAAAAAAAAGCAGGGTATAATACCCAAAGATTAAGCATTTGAAAAATTTGGCAAGTACGTGCCACTTTTGCTGCCTGTAACTTGCCTGCATTGGCGATTTTTGACAGGGAAGATGTTAAGGTCTTCCAGCTCTCTGGTTTTCCAGTGTCATAAGTGGCCTGTGGGTTCAAAAATATTATACTAAAATAAACAGTTAAACAGAATTTAGAGGTTCTTTATTGGTAGCTATGGTTCCATGAAGAGACTTTAACCATGGAATCTTTCCAAAAGGTTCTTCAAATTATTAAAACGCTCTTCACACTAAGGAAAAACCATTAAAAAAAAAAAAAAAAAAAGTGTTCACTCAAATGTTCTTTGGGGAAACAAACAAACAAAAAAAAGGTCACGATGTCACTGCTGAAAAAACAACAAAAAAACACTTTTGAAACCTTTATTTTTAAGAGTGTAGGAAACATACCTCAATGAAGAAACCAAGAACAGTCAGGATAGTTGAGCCGTTATGCACAACCTCATTCACTATGTGCAGGTGAAACAGATGGGCAGGACAAGTGATGACAAATAAAACACTAGTACAAAAGTTACACTAGACTGTATAATCTCACCTCCATAGGGTATTGCTTGCCATCCACAGTGTGTTCAGATCCAGGCATGAAACTGCCATTACCCCAGTGAAGATGAAACTGCGTACTTGCAAACTGGCCTGCCAGATCACCTCCTTCCACATGCATTTTCTGGTGATCAAGTGTAACTGTAACTGAAGATAAAGCTAAAATGCATTAGAAGCCAGTATTAGAACAGATAACTCCTGCATGCTAAAGACACACGAAACATGGATAGAGTAAGATCTTCTTGTGCAAATGCACAAATGACAATACAAAGAGCTACATCTACTCACTTGTCGTGCCAGTGTTTTTAATCTCAGTTAAGGTTGTGTTGTCATCATAACCAGTGAAGGTGAAAGAGGTCAGATTAGCATTAGCCTGGACGTTGGTGGTTATTATGTCTATTGGAGACTGTTGAGTGCCATTACAGTCTTTTTCTGCAATTATGGGCCAAGTGACATAAATTTGAAGGGAATTTTAAAATATAGAAGAACTTACTACATGAAGGCAAGTGATAACACCAAGCTGAAAAGGGCCCAAATACAGCAAGAATAATGCTAAAGCAACTTAGAACATTTCAATGACATAAGTTTAGGAAAATGATTCATATCACATGGTCATATCTTACCAACACATGTTGGTTCACTGTTTGATGCAGGCAACAGATAAGCTGCAAGGCAGGTTATAAACCAAGCATTCATCTTTGGCTGGGGTTGGGGGCATGCATAGGTGTTACACACTTTGAACCTTACAAATATTCAATCAATTGTAGGTTATAGTACTGCTATCTTACCATTTTCCTTAAACCAAATTCCACTAGTTCACTAAATTGCTCTCTTCTGAATAATAGTCAAAACCTAGCCAAAAAGCAGTTAAACCTGTAAAACCCTATAAAACAATTATCCTGAAAGCTTTTCACTCGAAAGCTTTAAATTGATGCCGAGTTCACACTAAAGACGTCGCATCACTGTTGGTTTCACACTGAACGACTATCTGGGGTAGCATTCAGTTGTTGCTGTGTTCACACTGCACGATGGAACGACGACAGGGGGAAGAAGAATCGCCGACAGCTCTGTCTGGTGCTGGGTTGCCAGGGTTTCGCTACAAAACCCGCCCAATTACTTCTCAAAACTAGCCTGAAAATAGCCCAATTGCTTTCGAGGGGGTCCCCCAGTAAAAATCGCGTTCGGGGGTAAAATACACATTTTTTTGGCAGGGTTCTCCTGGTACAATTCACATTCCAGGGCCTAAATATCGTAAATATGTTATTGGGGTCGCTTCAACCTGCTGACATAAGAAACAACCGGCGGCAATCGCGGATTTGGCAACACTGGGCCACAAACTACATTTCATATAACTCCTCCCCGAACTTCCCGCTGCCCTGTATCTTGGTCTCTCATTGGCTGTAGCTCATCGCCGATGTGTTTTTCAGTCAGAACTCATTTCACACAGCTTGATTGTGAATCGCCGACAGCTCCAGATATTTAGCATGCCAAATATTTCACGGGCGTCGGCGACGCGTCGGCGATTCCCTCAGATCCGTCTTTGATAATTCACACTGCGTGAATGTCACTCGCGTGAACGAGCACCGATTTGCCTCTGATTTCGGGCATTTGTCGGCGATTTCGCAAAACTTGTCGGCGAGTGAAAAATCGGGCTAAAATCGTGCAGTGTGAACTCGGCATAAGGGTGTCTGGTAATTAAGGCCAGTTTGGATTAAGCAGGTGTAGCAGGTCTCCATCTATCTATCAGCAAAAAATGTTTTCAACACTGATAATTCTAAGAAATGTTTCTTGAGCGGCCAATCAGCATATTAGAATGATTTCTGAAGGATCATGTGACACTGAAGACTGAAGTAATGATGCTTGCATAGCAGGACTAATTAAATTAAATTTCAAAATATAATAAATAAATAAATAGTCGCTTAATAGTTACTGTAATAATATTTCACAATATTACAGTTTTAACTGTATTTTTATTTAAATTTTATTCAAAAAGGCTTGATGAGCATAAAAGACTACATTCAAAAACATTAAAAAAAAAATTTATCTTTTGTGTGGTAGTGTGTATGTGTGTGTGTGTGTATACACACACAGCATACATAAAAGTGTATGGTAGATAAAAATGGTACAATATATATGTACATATAATCACAAACATTTTGATTGGTCTTTGGACCCTCATATATGGTACTCAAACAGAAATCAATTGGAGACATTTTGTTATTAAACAGCAAACATTTATTATTTCAAATTGAATAACTAAATTTAAAACAAATCATCATGTTTTACAATTTAAAAACAAATCATCTTAAATACTACTGAATTATCTAACATTGAATATAATGACAGATAACAGAAGCTTCATATAAAACATCAGCAGTCTGTAGGATTTCAACTGTTTTAAACTAGGAGTTTGGGATAAAAAAATATATAAACATATCCTAAGAACTTATATTATCCTCACAGATAGCAAACTTGTGCTTTTAAAAATATAGAAATAGAAATACAATTGGTAGAAAAAGGAACCGCTATGTGTCATAAACTTCTTATTTTTCCATAAAGTGATAAAATCAATATTTACAGAAACCATCAGTCATGATCAAACGCAAATCAAAGCGTACATCATTTACAAGTGCAATAAATTAAATCAGCTCATAGGTGTGCACAAAGCATATTTCTACAGCCAACACAAACTGGACAAGAGAAGTACTGTGATAACAGATAAAGTGGATGTGGCCGCTGATGAAGCTGCTGGAGTTGCTGCTGTTTGTACCACCTGTGACGTCACAACTCTGCCATTCAACGGCTGAACTCCTCTGAAGTTGTTGGTGTTCAGAACTGAAGCGCTTGCATCTTTGAAAAAGACAGTAGTGCTGAAGCGGTTGATCTGTTTGGAGGAATAAAGTAAATAGAGTGACTTTTTAACTCAGAATATGTAGAAGTTTTCACCCAGTAAAAGACGAATATGATTTTTATGAATTACTGTACCGTATAGTTGCATTTACTTACAAAGTTATGACTGACTTTGATGGGCTCTTTAAACACTGTCCAAATCACAGCTTCATTACAGCTGGGTGTAGTTAGGGAGCCTTGATAACGGTAATATTTAGTCCTGTCCACACCTTCAATCAGACTGTTCAGTGTGATTTCATTCATGATGTCTGTGGTTGTATTACCTAAATATACAAAAAAAAGTCTGAAACTACTTGGCTCTCTTTAGTTTTGCGTTTAATTTGTTGTTAAATTATATTGGTGAAGAGAGATTAACCAAATATACCAATGTTAACGGCTTCACTCAAAAATGAAAAACTCACTCGAATCGCGATCTCGATTCCATTTCGATTTATCGTGCAGCCCTATCACCAATGTTCCAGTGTTGTTTTTGTCAATACAATGAAAGTCAGTGTGGACCAGTGTTGTTTTGGACCCCACTGACTTTCACTATATGGACAAATAGTTGAAACATTCTTCAAAATATCTTTGGAATGACATGAGGGTGAATAAATTATGATTTTGGGTGAACTACCCTTTTAAGCAATCATTCAGAGCTGCAGGCTCCAAAAAAAGAAAACTGACAAAATCATTTCTTCACCTGAATTGCGGATGCTTGTCAAATAGGATGTTAGGATATCCCAGCTTTTTGTTTTGTTCGCTTCATTGGTTCCCTGTTGGTTAAATAAAAATAATAATAATAAAATAAATAAAAAGCATAATACATACATACGCATGTGCACATACAACCAAGCCATGAATATACTTTTAGGTTTGCGTTTCTTTCAGGATCTAAGAAATGTCATGCTCACCTCAATGAAGAAACCAAGAACTGCCAATGCTGTGCTGTCTTTGGCAGCTAGAGCAGCTGACACACTCCCGTTGTATTTTGAATGGACATTTACAATGTGCAGCTATGAGACATGAAAGAACACATACAGTGAATGAACACATAAACTCTTAAAAATAAAGATTTTTATTGACATCAATGGTACCACAAAGAACCTTTAACATCCATGGAACCTTCCCTTTGTAGTGGAAAAAAGTTCTTTAGATTTTTGAAATGTTCTTTAGACTAAGAAAAAAAGGATGTTTGTGGAACCAAAAATGATTCTTCTACTGCATCACAATATTTGAAATAAAGCAGTGCATTTGCAGGGAAAATTCAATCATTCATACCTCCATTGGGTATTGTTTGCCATCCACGGTGTGTTCGGAGCCAGGTGAGGAGCTGCCGTTACCCCAGTGGAGATGGAATTGTTTAGTGTTGTAAAGACCTGGAAGATCGCCTCCTTGCACTGTCATTTTCTCATCATCCAGGTTAACCACCACTGTGAAGACAATGGACATACCGTATTGTCCCGAATATAAGACGATATTTTTTTCTTGGAAATACATCTGAAAAAACGCGGTCGTCTTATATTCAGGAAAAAGTGTATATTTTTTTTAATGTGATTGTTGGTACATTTTACCAGTTTTTACCATACTTTCAAAACAAAAATTAAAATAGGAAAAATATGCAATATGAAAATAATTGAAGACAAAATGTGTTTTACTTAGAAAAAACAAGATTTGGTTTTTAAAAAGCCTTTTTCCAAAAGGTACATCTGGAAAAAGGGGGGGTCGTCTTATAATCAGGGTCGTCTTATATTCGGGCCAATACGGTATTACGCCAAATTTAGAAGAAGCTTTTCTCAGTCTCTTTACATAGACTGTGCAGAAATAGCATTTACACTGCAAATACAATGGTGTACTTTAATACTAGGTGCAGAGGTGAGTTAGAGCAGGCTTAATTTAGTCTGGCTTTCATGCAACATTGCATCTTCACATTGAGTTTTAAGCAGGCACAGAGCAGCCTTAACTCGGCTGTTTAAAGAGGCCTTTAGATACAAGGTCCAGGATATAATATACACTGATACTGAGCATCACAGATGATTGATCTGCACTCCATTACTGTACCCCTACTTTTGCCAGTCTAAGTTTCCATTATATATTCAGTGAGTCTCAAAGAGGCATCAAATAACATTTATCCTTCTGTTGTCTAACAGTATATCACCTATACATCTCTTTGCTATAACTCGCACTTTTGTACTTCTCTGTGCAACCTTTTTAAAGTGATACTTCTCATGTTATCTCTTCCTGAGGATTGGTTTTGTTATTCCTCATAGAAGTCACTGAATAAGTGACTGCTAAATGATTTTAGCAACTATATTTTATAAAGACAAACAGATCCTGAGAAACAATTAAGGTTATTCTGCAAAATGTGCATTGAAATAAATGCAAGTAGTATCAGCAAATGAAGGTTCCCAGTGTGCAGTGATCCTTACCGGAGTCGCCAGAGTTTACGATTGAAAGGAAGGTTGAGTTGTCATCAAAACCAGTCAAGTTAAAGGAAGTCAGGTTAGGATTGCCCTGAACACTTGCAGTCACAATATTAATGGGAGATTGCTTGGATCCATTGCAAAATTGTGGAGCAATCTTGGGCCAGGTGGTAAAATCTATTACAAATAGATGAAAAAAAAAGACTTCAGAACAAGTTTTTAATATTTTAACATTTAAAATTTATAATAAATTGTATATCAAGTTTTATGTCAATGTGGAATATTTTAGGGTGCAAAAAAATAATAAATAAAATCAATGAATTAATCACACTTACTGCATGCTGCCTTGTGATAGCACCAATCTGTTTACAGTGAAACGACAATATTAATAAATATAAACCAATGAAACTTCCTATCAAAAGAGCCTTTAGTGCCTTCTTCAACAGAATCATGCAAAATAAAACTACATATTCACTGAGTAAATTACGTTCAACTTCAGTTATACTCACCCACTGAAGCGTCACCAGCACTGTGGACGGTGGGACACAGAAGAGCAGCAAAAATGACCAGCAAGACAATCATCTACATTAAACCAAAAATAAATAAATACAATTAAATAAAAAATCATTAAACCAGAAAACAATACTGCTAACAGAATTTTATTTGATCATACAAGTGTACATAATTAATTTAATTTAACAAGAGAAATGTGATCAATCACAACTCTGGTCTCACCTCTGACTTGATTCACCTGTCTGTCTGTAAGCAGGAATATGATGGGTTATTGGCTTCATTCCCGCCTTTAGTACTCTTCACTGTTCACCTGTAATGGGTGTGTCACTTTCATCAGCTCATCTGCTGACGAAAAACGACATTCCTATAGAACGCTCACATGTCACATTGTTAGGCTTCGTTTATCGAGATTTCTTTCATAGCAGTCGCATTGATTGAATCTTATCGCGTTTTTACCTCTCAGCATCACATCGGTCAGGTTCTCCAAAACTCTCGTGATGGAGGGTGAAGACGAAGTTCACTACACCGCGCTTTCCCTTACCTGCCTTTAAAATGAGTCGAAATAACTTTATTAGCCGCCGACTTTCAAATGTTTCCAAAATAAATTCAATAAATAGCACCAGTTTAAGTTCATTTCTGGGTGCTTTTAAAAGCAAGGATTCGTTAGTAGTGGAACAACCCCAAAAGAACCAAACCATTTAGTGATTTAGTAATTCGATTTAATTAGATATAGGCTAATTCTAAATTTAACTGCCAGTATCGTTATAAAAATGTTATCATTTTTGATGATGTCGTTCCAAACACAATCGTTCTTGCGTAGCATGCAAAGACGGAATAATATAAACAGAAACCATTAGCCTGTATTGTTGCTGTCAATCATCCTCATTCTTCTTTAGAGGTTATTTTAAAGGGCGTTCACAATATCACGCAAGTTCAGATGGCATCAGTTGATTTATAGACTGTCCTACTTGATTTTGTATCATTGTTTGCTTACTTTTTACATTAAAAATGTTCATTTTTTATATTTCTTTATTTTATTGCAGTTGTTTTTGGTCCACCAAAGAAGTCACTATATCCAACCCGATCGCATGAGAAAACGTCATTGTTTTACGAGGTGGCATGCACTTTTTAAGGGAAAAATAAATCAATAAAATAAAAATATATAAGCATGAAGGCCCACCGAAACGTTAGTGGGACGTAAATAGATCGTACAAATTCATACGAATCAGCTAATCCGTACAAAGATAGGTTACCTGAGGAGTAGACGGTAACGATGGTCAACACTATTTTAAGTAGGTAAGGCTAATCAGTGTAGGCTACTTTGGGTAGGCTATACATTAGCATAAACTACATTAAGCTACACTTAGGCTACCACTTGTGGCTTTTGTATGAGCTATGAGATACCCTATATCATAAGGGGAGCGCGGGGCACAAAGGAACGCGGGGTTAGTTGTAACACACATGTTTTGAATATTTCCACACATGCTAGCATAACAAAATTTACAGTATATTAGTTACCATATCAACATTATATAGAAAAAAAATTGCGCCAAAATTCAAAAATCTTTTGAAGATATCGCTGAATATTTATTTTACCATAGTAAAATTACAATTCTGGCTTAAGTAAATTTTCCATCTCAATTTTTATTATTCATTTAAAATGAGACAAATTTATTTTAATCTCCAATCGGTTATTTATCAGTTCAGATCGTTGTTTTAATGCTTTGGTAACTAGCAGAAGACACTAACCAGTTTTAAATTCCAGTTGGGCAGATGGGGTATGTTGTAACACTGCGTTACAATGTGCTATTCTATGACATTAGCGATGTAATTTACACTATTTACTTTAATGAATTTTAACGAGAAACAATGAGAAACGGGTGAATAAAGACTGACAGTCAATGTTTAATGTTTAGAAATTATTATTTCAAGAAATGTAAAGCATTTTTGCTCATTTATGTGGACGGTCCCAAGCATGGTTTCAATGTGTTCATTGTCAAACTCCAAAAACAGATTAGTTTTAATTCTTAAAAAACGCCATTATTTTATTTTATTAACAAAATATTTTATTTTGTCTTGTATATTTTTTTCATTCGATCAGATAACATTTTAAGCTGTTTAATTCTTAAAAAACGCCATTATTTTATTTGAAATAAATAATTATTTTATTTTGTTGACAAAATATTTTAGTTTGTCTTGTATATTTTTTTCATTCGATCAGATAAGATTTTAAGCTGTCATATGGTCAAGTTACAACGTGCCCCTCAGATGTTACACTGTACCCCACCTACGGGGCATGTTGTCACATTTCACTTCCAATTTTTGAGGATAAATAAAGAAAAACGTATACACTGTAATTATGAAACAAAGCGACATATTTGTACTAGACAAGTGTAAAATTACTGTGGATAAAAAAAATTATATTCTGAACACAATGTGGATTTACACAGACTGAGAAAGTCAGAAAGTGTTACTTTGTGCCCCGCTCTCCCCTAGCCTATACAAAAAGAGGTTTCATTTCTCAGGGAAATATCCACATAGTGTCATTATTAGCTGCTGTGTACACAATCATTCAGCAGTAATTACAGTCGCTCATTTTAAGGATAGGCACACAATTCCACAACACAAACGTGCCCCACCTCAGCCAGATTAGATACATGTTAATATCATTTCAAATCTATTCATGTTCATGCTCATGCTGGGATGTTCTTTGAAACTAACCTTCTGGAATGAATCATGACGCCATAAATGACAATCTCAGCCTCACCCATGGCATCCTGCCTCTGCAATTTCTTAATACACCATCTGATTCTAAAGAGCAATGGACACCCATTCAAAAGATGTGTATGCTGATGTGTGTTTTTTTTTATTATTTTTATTTTTTTCAGTCAACATATAAACCACAAGGACATCATTAAATTCTAGTAAACATTTTATCAGTGCCTGGCTCCTTTTAGAAGGCTCTTAAAATTCAAAATACATTATATGCTTAAACCAAATTTGAATGCATTTCTTTAAAATGTCAGGATGAAGAGGAGATAAAAGTTTCTTTCAACAGGTGTAACACATGTGTTCAGCTCTGAGTTACTCTATCTATATCAGTTTGATTTGTTTTAGTCTCTGGCTTATCGACTACAGATTCGTCTGGTGGCTGAAAACTATTTCAAAACTTACATAATACCTTTGTAAGCTGCCTGTAAGCTATCTGCTGCACTGCCTCCGCTTACCTGACTTTTAGGCTACCTGTATTTTATTGTTACATCTCAGGTTTTTCTGGTTAGCATTACCGCATTAGCCCTTCTGGCAGATGCTGTGACTCCCACCATCTGATTCTCTCTCTTTTTTTTTTTTTTCAAATAAATCCCAAATATTTCATAATGTTATACAGATATTTTGAATGTGAAATGGACTTTTTTGTGAATGGGATGCAACTGCTTTCATGGAGGTGTACTGTTTTCTGCAATTAAATCCTTCACTTTGGTCCTCACAGTCGTCCTTTAGAAGATATATTAAAGAAACTTGCTTCCTCAGAGGACTTTTTTTTTTTCAAATATTATATATGGGTAACAGAGTTCCTCATTCCTTGAACTTTAGTTCCAATTTATGCATCTGGTTGTAAATTTTAAGTAAACTTACAGACATTAATTTGTGAATTGAGGTAATTCTACAAGAAAGTGTCCTTGGAAAAACAGGAATGAGAAACCGTGTTCTTTAACAAACTTCTCATTGTCATGAGAGTCATGAAAAAAAAATGTCTTTGAAACTGTCAATAAGTACATTTGATGAGCCAGCAATCTCGTCTCACAAGATGCAGTGCATTTTTGTAGGGCTGTGACTTTTAATGATCTGTTTCAACATTATAAGGGTTCCTTGTCTGAGCAAGATTTGTCATGGGGTCATGTTACATTTATATTTTATTAATTTAAAAAAAACAAGAAGTTTGAAGAATGGATGGATGGATAATTAAATTATACTGATTATATTAACTACATTTACATCAAATTTACATGATCCATTATTCATTTTGAAACATTTGAAATTATTAATCATTGTGTCTCTGCATTCTGTTTATTGCTTGGTTGTAATTTTTTTCTAGCTATTTCAATCACAGCCAAGTGCTTAAAATCAACAGTTTTGTAAGATGAAGTTATGTAAGCTGGCATTAAACTCACAGCTTTGCCTGGAATTTTTTATTTATTTTTTCTCTTTGTCTCCTCTTTCATTCTTTTCATTTCGCGTGTATATGCTCATACAAAAGGAATAAGGTCATGTGGTTTCAGTTTTTGATTTGCACAGTGGAGGGCAGGTTTTAAGTGACCCATAAATACGTTTGTGGGTGTGTGACCTGTCATTAAACTGTTGCTTATTCAACTTGTCTTGCAGCGTCCTCCACTACTGGCACCCTTGGTAAATAAGTGTGAAAAACATGTGTTTGCTGTTCATCCAATTTGTCTTTCATTAAAGAAAATTTGCTGAAAATGTGCTCACCCTCAGGGTATCCAAGATGTAGATGAGTTACCATTTTAGATGAGTTTATTTCTTCATCTGAGCAGATTTAACATTCCATCACTTGCGCACCAATGGATCCTCTGCAGTGAAAGCAAAACACAAAAACATGCCAATTAAAAAATTTGACTATACTTTTATTTAATCCAAACTGTGTACATATTTAATTTTAAAGGGCTTTTGAAAACCTTCTAGAGTTATTCAGCCAAGAATAACAACTAACTAAGTTAGCTAAAAAAAAAAGGCTTTTCTGACTGATATGACACAAACAATGTTAACCATTTGTACATTCTCTAACACGCATATTTTAGATTCACAATTCATTTAAAAGCCTCTGGTGTGTAAAAATAGTAAATATCATGTCCTCCTGTTTTTTTACCCTAATAAAAGTTATAGGAGCATTAATGAAGAAACTTCATTCTAATGCTCATTATATTAGCGTTAGCCGCGCTTATGCTAACCTCTAATAACAGCGATGTTCATTTCAATCCGACATTCAAATTAAAATATTGAATAATATTCATAACA